GAGTATGGGTCACCATACTTGGCCACATGTCACGTCACTTTTCACTTTTTCACTTTTGCGGCAACAATACTACAGCGAGAATAAAAGTTACTCCTTCTTTCTTTGCGTGAACATTTGGGCGGTGTTATGCAAATCTTCCCACATCGTGACGTAGACATGTGGGGGCGTGTTAGAACGAGCCGTTTTAGGAGGGCGTTGTTGACTCTTAACTTTTATAAAGAATATCTCTTTGGATTTGAGACTTTAGTCTTTGCAACTTTACAGATCTTCTTTATGCACCAAGAGCTTGTAACACTCCAAAGAGAAAGAAAAAATTGAAATTGCATCATATGACCCCTTTAATATTGAAAATTGTAATTCCAATACTACCAGTGAACTTTAATGTAATGAACCATTAATGAATGATTTAGAAACATTAATAACCTGTGAAAGTGAACCTTAATGTAAAGTGAACACCTGTGAACCATTTATTAATGAATTACAAACGTTAGTAACCTGTGAAAGCGAACCTTAATGTAAAGTGAACACCTGTGAACCATTTATTAATGAATTACAAACGTTAGTAACCTGTGAAAGCGAACCTTAATGTAAAGTGAACACCTGTGAACCATTTATTAATGAATTACAAACGTTAGTAACCTGTGAAAGCGAACCTTAATGTAAAGTGAACACCTGTGAACCATTTATTAATGAATTACAAACGTTAGTAACCTGTGAAAGCGAACCTTAATGTAAAGTGAACACCTGTGAACCATTTATTAATGAATTACAAACGTTAGTAACCTGTGAAAGCGAACCTTAATGTAAAGTGAACACCTGTGAACCATTTATTAATGAATTACAAACGTTAGTAACCTGTGAAAGCGAACCTTAATGTAAAGTGAACACCTGTGAACCATTTATTAATGAATTACAAACGTTAGTAACCTGTGAAAGCGAACCTTAATGTAAAGTGAACACCTGTGAACCATTTATTAATGAATTACAAACGTTAGTAACCTGTGAAAGCGAACCTTAATGTAAAGTGAACACCTGTGAACCAATTATTAATGAGTTACAAACGTTAGTAACATGCGAAAGCGAACCTTAATGTAAAGTGAACACCTGTGAACCATTTATTAATGAATTACAAACGTTAGTAACCTGTGAAAGCGAACCTTAATGTAAAGTGAACACCTGTGAACCATTTATTAATGAATTACAAACGTTAGTAACCTGTGAAAGCGAACCTTAATGTAAAGTGAACACCTGTGAACCATTTATTAATGAATTACAAACGTTAGTAACCTGTGAAAGCGAACCTTAATGTAAAGTGAACACCTGTGAACCATTTATTAATGAATTACAAACGTTAGTAACCTGTGAAAGCGAACCTTAATGTAAAGTGAACACCTGTGAACCATTTATTAATGTGTAGTAAACATTAGTAACCAGTCAAAGTTAACTTTAATATAAAATGGACACAATCATTATTTATTTATTGAATGATTGATTATTATTGCACACACAGAAAAAGTTAGTATTTTCTGG